AGTCGGAGTTTGGATTGGTTTCTCCATTAATGGCGGCGAAAGAAGAGACCAACAAGACTGAGGAAGAAGAAGTAACGGTGACTCAAACCCTCGAGACGAAACAGAGGCTTAGGTTTAGGTTTCGGTAGAAGGAAATTTGTATAGTTTGTTTCGTTTTTCTGAATGAATTTTCAATTTCAATAAAATTTGTTGCTGAAACCTGAAATTGAAAATATTCAAGAACATGATTCATTGTGACAAAACAACAACACAAAAAGCAAAGGATTCCAATGTCTAGGGTTGTGGTTGTGGACTTCCTTGAGGACTAAGAAGTCTCTCATCTTCTTCTTCCTTAACTTCTCGTTCTCTGAGTATTTTGATTCCTTGATATCTTCCCAACATTAAAACCGTAGCCATAGGGTTAGTTCCTGGTGATTCTTCAAACGTTGAACCATCAACAACTCTTAATCGTTTCACACCATTCACTTTATAATCCTCGTCCACGACGAATCCCACAACGCATCCGCCATGGTAATGGTAATAAGTTCTTACATTGTCTTTACAGAAGCTCTTAAGCTCTTCGTCACCTCCCAAAAGCTTTTCCTGAGTCTGTGTTCCCAAGAAGAGTGTTACAGTCTCTGACCTCGCTACGTGTTGAAGAAGAAGAACCATCTCTAAGCATGCGTCGAGATCTTCCTTGCTTTCTAGGTAATTGAATTTCACTGAAGGATTCTCTCTAGGGTTAATGCTGTTAAGTTTGAGCCTTCCTTTGGATTTAGGGAACGCGATTTTGGCTGCTATAGAGATTCTTGTTGTGGTGATGTTAGTTGGAAGAACCTGGGATTCGACAATGAACTTGTAACCTTCAGATATCGCCGCGACTTGAGGTGGCTCGAGTGTGCGGTTTTGAGAGAATCTATCAACAAGAAGAGATATCCCTGGATTGTCCGACATTTTTCTTCCGACTTGTTTGAGATTGGCAATCACGGGAATGTCGAAATCGTTTAGATGATTTTCGGGTCCAATTCCGCTTAAGAGGAGAATCTGCGGACTACCTAAAGCTCCAGCCGCGAGTATAACCTCGCCTCTATGCTTGTCAACATGAGCTTTGTAGCTCTTACTTGAGCTCCCATCACTCTTCATAAACCTAACACCAACCGCGCGTGTCTTGTTACCGTCAAAGATTACACTCTTTACCGTTGTGTTTAGAAGAACTGTGATGCAGTTTGGTTTACCAAATCCCAAAAGATCTGCAGAGGTATGTCTTTTCCCACACTGATCATATATGCTTCCACCAATCTTTGTCCCTTGTGTGTGCTCCAAACTATACCCATTGTACGGACAAAACCCAGCTTCAAGAAACCCGAATTGCACAACGGATTGCCATTGAGTCAATTCCGGCATGAAAACAACCTTAGACTCAACCCATTTATAAGAATCTTGAACCAGATCCTTGTCCCAACCAGCTTTCTTCACAAACTCATCGCTAGCTCGGCTGTAAAATCCGCCATTTATAGCGCTCGATCCTCCAAGGACGCGTCCTCTGTAGTTTTCGATACCATCTCTAGAGGTGAAACTTTGCGCAACCGATGAGTATTCATCTGTTTTTAGCAGAGAGTAACCAAAGTACTTTCTATCTTCCACTAATGGATCTCCATAAGGCGAGCCACCCCGTTCAATGACCAAAATAGAGAACTTCTCAGACAGAGTCGCGGCTAAGGAGCAACCTGCAGTTCCGCCTCCAACAAGGATGTAATCGAATGACTTGCCGGAGATTTCTTTCGGATCTGAGGTCATGTAAGGCATTTGCATTCCTGTTAACAAACAAACAACATTTAAGCAAAAAGCTTTCAAGGTATATATATATATTTGCTTCAAAACAAGAAGACAACTCTACAATGTACCTTGTGACTGATTAGTGAGCATGTAGATGATAATGAAGAGAAACACAAGAGGAGACATGTCTAAGTCTGAATTTGCAGATTCAAAGACAAGTTTTGTCTGAATAAAAGGGGTTGTTTGGTTAAGTGGAAGAGGTTGTGAATCTAAGTGATGATGTTGGGTCACTTAAGCCACTAAGAGTCTATATGGACATAATGATCTAAGAAGATGGTCAACAAATAGACAATTCGAAAAAAAAGTTTGGTGCTAAGTGCTAACGCATGGTTAGAGATCATGATGCTATCTTTGTTGGATAATTATGATATTTTTCTTGCATAATCATATAGCCATGCTTTAAAGTTATTGCCCTGAGTAATTATGATTTTTACCTTTTGCTGTTCCAACTAAAATTCTGAGTGGATTAAGCAACAACGTTAATTAGGTGGAAAAATAGAGAACAATTCACCTTAATTAGAACTATTATAACTAATAACATAAAAGATAATCTGAAATCCATAATGATAAGACGACCACCATTGTCTCAAAAATCTAAAGCAGTGTGAAGTGGACTTATCCAAAACCAAATACACACATTCAAACAATCATGTATATATATATATA